TTTTTAAGATCTGAAACAGTTTTTTGTAAAACTTATATTTTTCGAGATATTTCACCGGTCCGATACTTTTGCCCCACCCTGTATATACATATACATATATATTGCGGAACTAAATATTTATTACATATATATATGTAAAAATCGATTTTTATTTATTTCGTGAATAAATATCAATGTATCACTTATAACATACGTCTTACTACTGCGGATGACCATATTTCACTACTTTGATCCTTTATATCTTGGGAAATATTGACTTTTGGGACTTGGTGCAATGATAACTTTTTATCAGCATGGCGAAAACTATAACATAGTGAAATTTCAGCCAATTTGACCGAAAACTATTTTCCATAGGTTTTGTGCGGGGTCCTTTGCTCAAAGTACGTATATTGAATTCTGATAAATTTAAAGTTTTAATCGAGAATATTTAATGAAGACAAAACATTCGGTTTTGTTTACTACATTTTCGTAATGTTCTTGTAAAGAGAATAAACTCTTCTTTTGAGTATAGGTGATGAACTATTCTCGAATTTGTGATGAGTACATTTTAAAATTGCATTCTTTGTTGAAGGTAACCATTGCTTGACAGAAGGAAAGTAAACTGAGTAATCGCTTCTCTTAGCAGTGGAATGATATTTTCCTCTGTGTAGAACTTAAATTCTGAAATCCGAGGTTCAACTTAACGAAGATCGTTTATATCATTCGCACGAGTACGTGTAAAAATTGCTGAATGCGTATCTCGCGCATGAGACAATGACGATTCACGTAGGAATGCGAATAAACAGGATGAAACATCGCGGTTGCTTATTGCAGTGAAAATAGGGAGAAGCCGCTGACGCTTAATCCACGCGCTCTGTATCTTATCGCTCGCGATTCGAAAATAACCACGCGAATCGTAATAACATGGCCGTGTGGGCCGCGTTAAGTGCAAGATATTGCGTGCACGTAGGATACAGCTTTGCAGGCTGAATATTTCGTGCGTGGGTAAGAGAGAGAGATAGAGAGAGAGAGAGAGAGAGAGAGAGAGAGAGAGAGAGAGAGAGAGAGA